TCTATCTATCTATCTATCTATCTATCTATCTATCTATCTATCTATCTTTAACTTTTTATTGATTCTTTGTGACTATTACATCGTGCACCCCGGTCCTACTCACCTCCCCATCCCTTTGTATTTGCCCTCCACTCTTGCAACTGCCCCTCAAAGAAAACAAAACAAAACAAAACAAAAAAAATAAATAAACAAACAAAACCCATCTTGTCATGGAAGCTGTAATGTGTCATGCTGTTCCCACAGTATGTCTTTTTTTTTTATATATATATATTTACCCAACAACGTTTTAATAGTTTCCTTTAGAATAGTAAAACAACTTCAGACACAGTATGCCTTTACTGTGCAATTGTTCATTGCAATAAGTCATTGGTCTGGTTCAGGGCCTCCAGCTTCTGCTACACAATATGGGATCCTTCCCAGGACTCCTCTCCAATATCCTGTTTTTGCCCTGTGTCACAGAGATCCTATAGCTTTACTTCTGCAGGATCGGCCCCGTCATGTACTCCAGCAGTTCATAGATGGGTAGGTGTTGGGATGGGTCACCTCAAAGCCGTGGGTCTGGACCTGGGTAGCAGCTGCGTTGGGCAGCCTGCCAGCTCTCCTGCACCTGCGCCACTGGGGCCAGCTCTCCAGCACTGTCCCTCAGTGTAAGACCACACACTTGAATATGAGAGAGAAAATAGGAAATAGGTTTGAACTCATTGGCACAAAAAAAAGGACTTTCTGAGTAAGACATCAATAGAATAGGCATTAATTTTGACAGTTAATGAATGGGACCTCAGGAAGCTAAACAAAAGCTTCTCTGATGAACTATGGGGTATAAATATAGACCAATAGGAATTGGCTTGATGCTATGCCCATTTAGCAGATTTAGTAGGTTGTCTTCTAAGGACCTATGATCTGCCTGGCCATAGATTCTTGGCCTGATGATATTCAAAACCAGGCAACGGAATCAATGTCAAAAATAATCAGTGACAAGTACTCTCTGTCTTTCTCTCTCTGTAGCACCTAAATTTTTCTATAACTTTTTAAATTAAATTTTTATTTTTATATTAATTATAGTTTATTCACTTTGTATCCCAGCTGTAACCCCCTCTCTCATTCCCTCCCAATCCCACCCTCCCTCATTTCCTCCCATGCCCCTCTCCGAGTCCACTGATAGGGGAGGTCTTCCTCCCCTTCCATCTGACCCTAGCTAATCAGGTCTCATCAGGACTGGCTGCATTGTCCTTCTCTGTGGCCAGGAAAGACAGCTCTCCCCACAGTGTGTGCATGTGGCGGGGGGGGGGGGGGAGGTGGCCAAAGAGCTCGCCACTGAGTTCATGTCAGAGACAGTCCTTGTTCCCCTTACTAGGGTACCCACTTGGATACTGAGCTGCCATGGACTACATCTGAGCAGGAGTTCTAAGTTATATCCATGAATGGTCCTTGACTGGAGTATCCGTCTCAGAAAAGACCTCTAGGCACAGATTTTTTTGGTTCTGTTGCTCTCCTTGTGGTGCTCCTGTCCCCTCTAGGTCTTACTATCTCCCCCTTCTTTCATAAGATTCCCTGCACTCTGCCCAAAGTTTGGTTATGAGTCTCAGCATCTGCTTTGATACACTGCTGGGTAGAGTCTTTCAGAGGCCCTCTGTGGTAGGCTCCTGTCCTGTTCCCATTTATCTCCCTCTTCCAATGTCCATCCTGTTTGTCTTTCTGAGTGAGAATTGATCATCTTACCTAGGGTCCTCCTTCTTGTTTAGCTTCCTTAGGTGTATAGATTTTAGTATGTTTATCCTATATTTGTCTAATATCCACTTATAGGTGAGTATATACCGTGTGTGTCTTTCTGTTTCTGGGATACCTCACTCAGGATGATCTTTTCTAGTTCCCACCATCTGCCTGCAAATTTCATGATTTCCTTGTTTTTAATTGCTGAGTAGTATTCCATTGTGTAAATGTACATGGGCCTTAATAAAACACAAATGGGTCTTCTCTTCTTGCTCCTACACATTGTTCGAGGTCCTAAGTACATTGAGACTCTTTGTTGGACATTGGTACCTCTAACCCTCTGGGATATTTAAGTGAAGCATTTCTTCCATTTCTTGACTTTCATGATTATTTCATCTCTTGTAGCTCCACACCTGCCTGACACCCCTATCCCACCTTGACTCCAGGTCAGGTATATCTTACACAGCATTTCACCTGGCTTATAGTCACCGAGAGAGCTCAAGATCGGGCTAGAGACTATAACGTCGCAACTTGAATTTACACATTACAGAACAGTTCTATGTTAGCTTGACACAAGCTGGAATTATCTGAAAGGAGAGAGCCTCAGTTGAGAAAAGTCCTCCGTAAGGTCCAGTTGTAAGGCATTTTCTTCATTAGTGACTGATGGGGGAGGGCCCAGCCCACTGTGAGTTGTGCCGCCCCTGGGATGGTGGTCCTGGGTTCTATAAGAAAGCAGTCTGAGCAATCCACAAAGATCATGCCAGTGAGCGGTGCTCCTCCACAGCCCTGCATCAGCTCCTGCCTCCAGGTTCCGGCTCTGTTTGAGTTTTTGTCCTGGCTTCCGTCAGTGATGGGCAATGATGTGGAAGTGTCAGCCAAATAAACCCTTTTCTCCCCAACTTGCTTTCGGTCATAGTGTTCATCATAGCACTAGAAACCCTGACTAAGACAACAGAAACCCTAACTAAGACAATAGCTATATGATGCCAGCACTAAAATACTCAGGGGATTTTCTTTCAATCCAAAGATGAAACACAAAAGAGTTGTTTCATAAAAAATAAAATAAAATTGGGACAGCTTTTGCATATTTATCTTCAACAGAACAATTTTAACAACTTAAAAAAATCTCTGGATACAGGCCGGAGAGATGGCTCAGAGGTTAAGAACACTCTCTGTTCTTACAAAGGTCCTGAGTTCAATTCCCAGCAACCACATGGTGGCTCATAACCATCTAAGTGAGATCTGGTACGCAGGCAAAATGCTATATAAATAATAAATAAATCTTAAAAAAAAAAAAAAAAAACTCTGGGCAAGTTGTCATTTGTCACTAAGAGCTTTGATTTCTTTTTCAGTTGCTGAGATAAATACTCTGACAAACAATTTAATGGCTAAAGGGTTTACTCTGATTACATTTAAAGGTGCAGTCTATTATAGTGGCATTGAGCAGGGAGGAGCATGAGGCAGCTGGTCACGTGGCATCCATGATCAGGAAGCAGAGAGCAAGAAATTCTAGTGCTCAGCTCGTTTTCCTTTTAATGAAGTCCAGGATCTTAACGCAGGGAATGGTGCCGCTCGAGGTACACGTGTGTTCCCATCTCACTTAACCCAACAGCATGCCCGGAAGCCTGCCTCACAGATAATTCAAGTTAGGAACCGAGATTAGCCACCACAACTATGTCAAGTCTGATCTGGTGGACATTTAGGAGATCTCAATCGTCATGTCTACCATCTTCCTGTATACAGTCAGCATTAGCAACTTCACTGCCTAGGAATTATCCCTCAAACTTACAAAGTCTTCCAGAACAAATTATTGGCTGAAGATTACTTTTTTATGTAATAATTAAGGGTCTGGGTACAGCTAAGCAGAAGAGTACTCACTCTGCATATGTGAGACTCTCTCTCCCTCTTTCTCTCTATGTAATTTTATTATGTATTTTTATAGATAATTTTATTTTCCAATTCTTTTATATTTTTCTAACATTTGTGAGGATTTTAAAGTTTTTGTATCCAGTTTCCCTTCAGTTGTTTAAGTAAGAACTTGTTAAACATTGTGTACATGGACTCATGAGGCACATTTTCATTCATACTTCCTCTATTCATCATTGTATCTGTTCATTAATAACACTTTGTCTAAACACAGTGTGATTCTTTGGTTCCACTGATGCATAGCATCTCACTTTTTGCCCCCACAGGATTCTACCTAGGAATTTGTTTCCCTTGGGTATGTGCCTAAGAGTGGGGCTGCTGTGGTGTAACGGAGGTTTATAAACAGCCTTAGCTGAGTTCTCCATGGTGACGGGCTCCGTGTTAGGGGCTGAAATACGTGCGTGGTTAATTCTGCTCCCGTCTGCGTGCAGTGGCACTGATTATAAGTGTGACTGCTGCCATCGGGCGTCAGTTTGCCTCAGGTGTTATACTCTGCCAAAATCCAGAAGCTATAAATCACCTTCGTCGTAATACCATGAGCACAAATAAGAACATTGTTTGATTTTGCCATCTTGCCTAGTTTCTTGACTCGTTTTCTGTTATCAGACACCAGTCAGCTCCTTCCTCCTCATTTCCTTCAAATAATTCCTATGCGAACAATTAAGTTTTTGACACAGCTGAGCCAAGTGCTAGAGAACAGGAAGTACTAGCCTGTTTGGAAGGCACAGGAAGAATGCATTTACTGAAGCCAAATACTAAGGACATGTGTGAGTCAGGATAGCATACAGAATCTGTAATGGGAGTGTGCGTTAGTGATCTTCATTGTGGGTAAGTAGATAAAAGGTTTCCGTTTGTCAATAAAATGACCCTCACTAGAGCACATTTTTGCATCAAGCTATCCATCACTTAACTTCTTACAAAACATATAATATATAAAGTATTTATAACAACTTTTAAAACTATCTCTTTCTTTAAACTCGATACTTATCACAGTGGGAAAAAAAAATGGTTTCCACAGTTGCTTCAGGACTAGGTTCTTTCTGACAAGAAATCTGCTGCTACAGTGTTGTCACTGAATGTATAAGCTGTCTTTCTTCCAGCTGCT